CCCCCCCTCGTGTTTTGGACAAAGAGGAAAAGAGGTCCCAAATTATGTGTGACCGCTTCTGCGCACGCTGCTGTGCAAATGTGTGACCGCCCGCCGCCTGTGTGTGTGTTTCAGATGGTTCCACCCCAACATCAGCGGCGTGGACGCCGAGGTGCTGCTCATGGAGCGCGGTCGGGACGGCTCCTTCCTGGCCAGGCCGAGCCGCTCCACGGCGGGGGACTTCACACTTTCCGTCAGGTAAGTGGTTCGTCGTCGTGCACCTGCCGGTTGCCCGTCGGATGCCCGTCGGTTGCTTGACGGCTAGGACAAAACACTAGGCAGGCACGAGCAGCAGCAAGCCTAAAAGTGATCGTAAAATTATCCCGCCAGGCGCAACGGCGTGGTGACGCACATCAAGATCCAGAACACGGGCGACTTCTACGACCTCTATGGCGGCGAGAAGTTCGCCACGCTGTCCGAGCTGGTGCAGTTCCACATGGAGACGACCCTGCGCGAGAAGAACGGCGACGTGATCGAGCTCAAGTACCCCCTCAACTCGGCCGACCCTACGACGGAAAGGTAAGTCCGCCATCCTCCGTATCTACAGCATAACTAACTTCAGGAAGAAAACAACACACCCAAGAACCTGAGCCATTACTCGAGTGATGGCCTGGCTCACGTACCAAATTTCGAAGAATATTTTTCTTCCGCAATCCTATCTTTTATAATTCTTTATTTTTATGCGGGGTAAAGTCACGTGAGCATGTCTGTCCTGTCACACTCGCGAGCTCTTCAGAAGGCCGGCGCTCTCCTCTCTCTCCCCCTAGTGTTCCCGTTTGCGCGGTCCGCCCCTGGCCGCCCTGGCCGCGGGCCGGACGTTGCGGAGCGGCGGCCTCGTCCTCGCGGCGCCCTCCGCCCGCCCGCCCGGCGCCTCTCTGATGTCTTCATAAAAAATAATGTTATAAAACACAGCCGCGAGCTGACTTTGGTTATCAAAACATAGAAGTAAAATTAAGCTTACAGCTTGTGTTTTGTGTATGGGTAAAGATCATTTTGAAGGCAGGTCGGATATGAATGTTGCCAGGTCTGAAAGTTTCGAGTTTTAGTGCCACGCCTATTGAGCATCGTTTCTCGAGAGCGACGATCTGATCCATCATGTACACACGTGCGACGCCCGCGCCAGTTTTCCTCCGTTTGACGTCAGCGTGCAGCCTCCTGCCGCTGCTGCTGCTGGGGTCATGCGCAGTGCCGGTGGGCCGCCCTGGCCCGGGCCCCGCGAGCACGTGGGTGCGGCCGGTAGGAGGTAGGTGGGGGAGGGGGAGCGGGGCGGGAGGTGACCCGGTCCAGTCCGGCCCGTCGTGTGGGTAGCGCCCGCGCCCGCCCGCCAGCCGGAGAGAAGGGAGTAAACATTGTTCGCCGCGTACAAAACAGGGTCAGTAATGGATAGTTTTTATTGTTTTTTGTTTGTTTTTTACAACTTTGTTTTAATTTTTTTGGGGGGAAGGGTTGGGGCGGGTGGAGGGAGGGCAGTCTTGGTGTTTAAACTACTTCAACGCCCTTCTCCAATGCTATTTCGTGGTGCCCTGCGTTGAGGTCCCCCCACTTCCCAAAAAGACGTCGTCAAACACAACTCAATTATTGTTCGATAGAAATCCTGGCGTCTCGTTACTTGACGTCGCAATCTCATTTGCCTCGGCTGCTTTCCCTTTGGCGGGCCATACGCTCGTTGCCGGCCGCGTGGGCGCGGGGCGGGCGCAACGGCCCATCAATGACCGCACTATGCGAGACCCGGCGGCATCGCGGGTCAGTCGCTTCTCGTCCACGCCATGCGTGGCGGCGCGGCCCTCCGACCGACTGCTGCCACTGCTGCGATGTGTGTGCGAGTAAGAGGGTATCGGTCCGCTCGTGTTCAAAGCCGCACACTGAGTTTGTTCACATGGCGTATGCGGGATTCGAGGCTGACGGACCGCCGCCGGGGAGCGATGCGCGCCGCCGAATGAAATGCGGTAGGCGGCGGGTCAGCCTGGTCAGCCTGTGTTCACTGAAACGTTATTATTGTTTGAATGTGAAACGTAACGCTCTTTGCGGCCGGCCGAGCAAGAGTCAGCTGCCCGCTGCCCGCTGCTGCCCACCAAACCACCGGCACACGCTCTGCTTGGCAAACGCGCCGCGCCGCGCCCTCCACATGCCGGAACAGGTGCAGCGACCCGGCACACACACACACACACACACACACACACACTCTCACAGACACACACACACACACTCACTCACAGACACACACACACACACACACACACACACACACAGACACTCAGACACACACACACAGACACTCAGACACACACACACACACACACAGATAGACACACACACACATGCACAGCGGTGCGTGACGCCCTTGGTGCGCGCTTTGATACGGCGCGCTCAGGCTGGCGGGCGCACCTCTGAATTAGGGCAGGGCAGCCGAATGGCACGGCCGGCATGCGCCCCGCTGCTGCTGCTCCTCATCGCGCTGCTTCGGCGATGAGCTCCTCGCGGCGCCCGGCCCGGCCCGTGGCCCGCGCCCGCGGGCAATGGCGTAGGAGACGGGGGGGCCGGGGGGGCCCGTGCCCCCCCAGGTTTTGAGCTGGGGGGGCCTTGCCCCCCCAGAATTTTTGAAAGACACGATCAAGGAAATGGGTTTAGGGACGCCGCTCAGACCGCAGGCCGTTTGTTGCAAGTGGTTCTGCTACACATTCACAAACATCTCACAGAGAAAATAGATCTGAACAGCATCCCAAGGGACTTCGTGTCGAAGACTTTCGACAGGAAGCAGATGTTTGGAAAAATGTAATGTGTGTGTACTACAATTTCAAATGAAAGAAAAAGACAAGAAAAACAATTTTCATTTTATGCCAATTTAAGTGTCCTATTAACTACATAACCCTAATGCCCTTAATCATTTTTTTAAATAACCTATACACTCCGCCTGGTGGGTAGACAACCCACAACACGTGCCCCCCCCAGCTTTTTGGACCTTCCTACGCGCCTGCCCGCGGGGCCTCCGAATATAATCATTTCCCCCGCCCTAAACCGCTATACGTTGTGTGTAGCAGAAGACATGTTGTGTATCTCGGAAGCGGTAGATAAATATAAGGCAGGAAGAAAGGGAGGCGATAGGGAGCGACACGGTAATCGTATATATTTGCATTTTAAATCAGGAGAACAAACAAATGCGCATAGGGCTGTGTGTTGTGTGGGTGCATGTCTCGCGGGGATAAAGAGGTCATTTTTTTCCCCCGGCCCATGTGTGCAGTTGTGACCAGCAGCGCGCTCACAAACAGGGGCTGCTCCCCCCCCCCCCCCCGGCCCGGGCTGTGCTGGTTTTGATGCTAAGCCGATCTGCTGCGCTTTAGCAGCCCAGCAGCGTGCTCATCCAAGGCCTCCCCGCCCATCCCCCCGCCCCGCATGCGGCAGCGGGCAGCAGCATGGCTGGTTGGGCCGGGCCCGGGACTGGGCAGGGCTCCATGCTCCCCATCTGGCTGGACGGGACGGCCGCCGACCCTCGCGAGCACCACGTTGGAATGCCCGACGTCTTTGGAGCGGTTGGCGCGTGATGTGCTATGGTCCTGCTCAAAAAGTAGTAAACTTCAAAAAATACAGAAAAGTCGGTGAACGCTTGAATTTGTTGTTAGGTACCCGCTGGTCCTGCTGCCTGCATGCGCTGCGCGGAGGTGCGGGTCGCGGCGGAGGCGAGCGCCCGGGGGGTAGGCAACGCAGGCACACCCTTGCCGCGCGGGTCTGCCTATGGGCGGGTCGGCAGGCGCTCCGTCCTTGACCCCCC